ACTTGTGTGTGAAGCTGAACTATTTGAGGGGAAAGAGGACTAGTCTGGGGTGTGTATATGCTTCAAGAAAGGTTTAAATGGGGTAGGACTCTGTGTGGAGTGCTGAGGTGAGGTCCTCTGGGAATAATAAAGGGAAGTTTGTGTGTAGAGATGGACTAAGATGGTGCTGGGAATTACATCTGTATGGTGGCCTCAAAACTCAAATCCCCTATGAAGCTTTTCCAGGCTATGAACAAATCCCTTTCTTGGCTAGATCTGGTCAGAACTGTGTGTAGAAACTCAGCCAATAGTCAACAAGTCTTTATTAAGTATTTACTAAGTGCCAGGCACTGTACCAAGACTGGAGATACAAAGACAAAAAACCAGTTCCTCCTCTCAAGGAGCTCAGTCTAATTGGGAGACAACATGCCCATGATTACGTATAAGCAGATATATACAGGATAAGTTGAAGATAATCACCACAGAGCAGGCACTAGTATGAACAGGGATCAAAAAGTTTTTTGCAGAAAATGAAAATTTAGCTGAGATGTGAAGGAAACCAGGGAATTTTGAAGGTGGAAAAGAGGAAGGAAGGAGTTCTAGGCATGGGGCACTGTGAGTGGAAATGTTTGGAGTTGGGAAATGGTGTGCCTAGTTTGAGGAACAGCAAGGAAGCCAGTGCCACTGAATTGCAGAGTTGTGTAAGATGCATAAGGAGTAAGAAAATTGGAAAGGTAGGAAGGAACCAGGTCATGGAGGATTTTAAAAGCCTAACAGAGGATTTTATGTTGGATCTTAAAGGTAGGCAATGAGGAGCCAGCAGAGTTGATCCAGTAGGGTGGTGGTGATATGATCAAATTTGCATTTTAGAAGGCTGAGGTGGGGTAAGGGCTGTTTGCATGGAGTTTGTACTAAGAAAATATACTTTATGTGTATTTGTGTTGTGCTTAGATTGGTGGCTCTATTTTTTTGGGGGAGCTGTGTGCGTGTAGGGTGGATGAGCAAGGAATGGTAGCTCTCTGTGTATGTCTCTACATGTGGTGCATGCTGTGTGAGTATGAGCTGAAGTTGGGGGATAAGGTCTATATACGTGTGTTGTGGGGTGCTGAGAAAGGGTCAGGTGCAGTATGTGTATATGTATGGGCTGAATTCAAGCTGGTGATTTGTGCCTGTGGATTGGGGTTGAGCCTTTGTGTAGGTATGGGAGGGAGACTGTGTGTGAGTGGTGAGAATGAGGATATGGGGTGTGGCTGAGAGTTGAATGTGTGTTTGTGGGTGGGTATTGAGGATGTGGAGGGAGGCTATGTGTATGGTTGTGTGTGGGAACAGAGTTGTGTGCCTGGGATCAAGATGGATTTGAGAATTGTATGTATAGGAGAGTCTGAGGGCTGTGTATGTGGCTGTTATTTGTGTATCTGAGAGGGGAGCTACATATAGAGGTGTGTGTATGGGGTTGTATGTTAGGAAAGTTGCTATGGGACTCTTGAGTGTGTGTGTGTGTGTGTGTGTGCTCGCGAGCACACGCACATGTTCAGGGGTTCAGGTGGAGCTGGAGGCTTGTGTGTGTGTGTGTGTGATGTGTAAATGGGCTCTGATGTGTGACTGAGCTATGTTACAAGTGGGCAGCATGGATGTGAATTAAGCTAGGGCTGAGTTGGCCAGGGCTCTGTGTGTGGGCTGAGTTAGGGCTGCTTGTGTGTGAGGCAGAGCTAGGGGCCGTGTGTGTTTGTGTGTGTGTGGGCTGACCTGGGGTTGGGGGCTATGTGTTGTTGGATAATAAGCAGATTCTCTACATAGGGGTGATGAGGCAGGGCTACTTGTGTGTGGGTTTATTTCAGTTGGGGTGCACTGAGGGATGGCGCTTCATCTGAGTGTCATGGTAGCTGTGTGTATAGAGGGTATGGATGAGTGGGTGGGGCTGCGTGTGTGGGAGAGCTTCTATGGCAAGGCAGTGTATATGTGATGAACTGAGCCTGTATGTGTGTGGTGAGAGTGGTGAGGTGGCTGTGGAGTTGCAGCTCTGTGTGTGTGTGTATGTGTGTGTGTGTGTGTAAGAACATTGTGTGTGCACATGTGTTTGGGTTTTGGGGTCATGCTGTGGTTGGGCTAGGGTTAGGACAAGGCCTGTGTGGAGAAGACTTTCTCTTCATTCTCAAGGAGGATGAATCCCTGAGTCCTTAACTGGAGCCCTGGTAGGCTGATGGCCGACACTAGACACAGCAGAAGGCTTGGAGGTGGGTGGTCAGTGTTCCTTGTACTGGAGGTTCTAACACTCAGATCCCCTGTATGTATTTTAGCCTCCTGTGCTCTGGACTTCCCCCTTCACCACAGCCTTCAGGACTCAACTCCTCTGCAGAATCTTTGGCATCTCTGAGCAAGTCCTTCTTCCTGGTTTCACCCTGCCTTGTCTTTTCTTCTTTTCTTTCCACCCAGGGTCTGTTCTTCCTCCAGATGAATGCTTACTCTGGGGAGAGTATCAAGTCTACATATTTCCCTGGTTAAGTCATGAGTCTACCCATTTATCTGGATCAGTCATGATGGGTCTTTCCCACTAGGGGGTGCTGGGATCCCACAGACAAGCCAGGACCCATTCTGCTAGGGTCTTGGCTGCTGTTGATGGTAGAAAGGGTCTCGGCTGAGAGCCAAGAAGACTATTGTCCAAGGCAGTCAGTAAGGACTGGGGATTAGTGGGGTCTGGAGTGGTGGTGGTAGTAAAAGGCTTAGGGAGTCAGTGAGCAGTGGGGGTGGTGAACTGTGGTGTTAATGAAGGATTAGTGGGGCAGAGAGGATTAAAGAGAGGTTAGTGAGCCCTAAGGGCTAAATGAAGCTTCTAAACTTGTTCTTGATGGGGAGAAGGGATCCTACAGAGTTCTGTGTTTGGGAACTTTGCCTGTGGCCCCGCTTCCCACCTTCACTCCAGCAGGTACTCTCACCTGAGAGATGGCACCATACTCTCATAACCTTTGATCTGTCTGATCCAGCCACAGCCATTGTTGCCCTTTAGGTGGACTCTGGAGGTCCCATCAATGACCTTTCTATTAGTTGCACTACTTTATTTGGGGTGTCACTAAAACCAGGAGGAATCTGGTTTCTTCCTCACTTTCTTTTGGTTCTGTCTTCAGCTTCCAGGACCTATGACTAAGAGCGGCCACAATCTCAGTAAGTAGAGATGGGAGTGGGCATAGGTGGAAAATAAGATTTACTGATCTGGCACATCCATCAGGCCACAGTGCTCCTAAGAATCCATTCTGTTGGACTATGTGCTATGCTGTAGGGCAGCATGTGTAGTGGTAGTGGAATCAGGATGCATTGTGTTTGGGAGCCGGGTAATAAACTTGTAATGATGGGGACATAGTGATAAGGTCACAGGTGAAGTGGGTCACAAGGATGAGGGCACCATGATGAGATCACAGCTGAATGGGTCACAAGGGTGAATTCATAGGGATAAGATGATAAGGATAGGGTTGGGGGGGTCCCAAAGGCCAAGGTTGGCAACTGTGGTGACTATTTATGCCAGGGTCAACCTTTAGTTTTCTTGGTTAGGATGACAGTAATATATGAAGAAAAGATTCCTTAAGTAGCCTCTGAATTCTCAAATCTCCCCTGTCATGTTTGGAAGCCCTGGCAAATTTTGAGGGAAGGGCCATAACCCTAGGAGTTAAGGGGGAGCACAGGCTATAGTTTTAAGGGCAGGAAAGGGAGGGTAGAGGTCTCATTATAAATCCCACAGCTTAATGGTACTTCTTGGAAATGGTACAGCTTCTTGGATTTTATTTAGAGAGGAGATGTATACACCCACCCACACACACACACACACACACACACACACACACACACACACACACACATTTCCTGACACTCACAATGTTCTGTAGTCTTGCTCTGTGCCCCCATTTTCTTGTTCTTTAATCCTTTGGGGATAAGAGAAATCTATTGTGCCCAAATTTTAGTCATGGGCAGAGAATGGGCTTACATAGTGCTTACTATGTGCCAGACTTTGTGCTAAACACTTCACTAATATTATTTCATTTCTTCCTCACAACAACCCTGCAAGGTAGGTGCTATTATTACCCTCATTTTGCAGTTGAAGAAACTGAAGCAAATAGAAGTTAGGTGACTTGCTCAGGGTCACATAGCTAATAAATGTCTATAGCCACACCCTGAATCAAAAGTTATTTGGGTAGAATGCAATATGCTTCAGAAAGGGACAGGATGAATAGACTACAGGATCACTACTCTTCCCTTCCCTGTCTTTTGTTTCACAAGACTTGTCTCTAGAAACAATGGGGAAAATGTCTGACCTAGTTTTCTCAGGCTATTCTTTCCACATTGATCAGTCTGTCTAGGACTGTATATTGGTTTGTTCCAGTATGATCAGTCTGGGTTTGTCTATTTTGGTCACTTTGCCAGTGTTAGTCTATGAAGACTGAATAGACATTCAGCCCTACTATAAGCTGATCTACCTGGGGTTAGCCTGTCTGAACTAGTTTCTCCGGGTTACTCTATTTGGGTTAGTTTGAATTTTTCTGACTGAGTTGATTGGTGGGGGAAAGTTTGTCTCTCTTGGTTTGTCCAGGTCAGTCTTTCTGGGATGGACTTGGAATTTTTTTGAGAGCTGGACATTTTGAGTTTGTCCCAGACTTTGAGTGCCTTCAAACCTGGGCTGCTGTCCTGGAGATGTTCAGCAGGTGGCAACATAGGAATATGACATAAAAACCCAGGACTGTTTGCAAATGAAATGAGAACATTCACTGTCCCTTTGTGATTCAATATAACCTTTCTTTGGGAGGGCTCAGAGTCACAAAAGTGGTGAAAGCATTGAAAGTCAAATCACATCAACAAACATTTATTAGGAGCTTAGTATGTGCCAGGCACTGTGCTAAGTAATGGGGATACAAAGAAAGACAGAAGACCAAGAAGCTGGCCTGGGACTGCCCAAATTCTGGGCCTGGACCCTTAAGAGAGGGCCCACAGGGAGTGAGACTGGGGATATTGGCGGAGCTGGGGCCACTGTCCCTTGCTCAGGTTGTTTTGCATTCCAGCATCTTTCGGAAACTCTTACGGAAGTTGTCATCTAGGAAGGCATAGAGGAAGGGGTTCAGACAGGAGTTGGTGTAGCTCAGGCTGGTGATGAAATAGGAAATGCCAATGACCAGGGAGGTCTGGGGCAGGTCTGTAGTTAGTGCCACAATGGTTGCCAGGTGGAAGGGCATCCAGCAAAGGAGGCACACAGCTAGGACAATGATGACCATGATGGTCACTTTCCTTTTGGCCTTGTTCAAGGCCCTGGCATTGGAGTTTAAGCTCATGGTCCTCAGCTTGTGAAGCATTCCAATGTAGAGGATACAGATGGTTGAAACAGGAATAGCAAAACCCAGGACTAGGGTATAGATGCGGCTGGCCTTGAACCAGAACCTCTCTGGCTGAGGGAAGCTTAGCCCACAGCTCTTGATCTGCAGTTCATTGGTATAGACACTAGCAAAGAAGAAGAAGGGCAGGACAATGAGGGTCACCCAGAACCAGATGCAGATGCTGGTAGTTCTTGCAGCACTGTAGGTTCGATAGGATAGACGTCGGGACTGGACGGTGGCCAGTACCACCAGGTACCTGTCTACACTCATCACAGTCAGGAAGTAGATACTGGAGAAAATGTTGTAGTGGTCAATGGCCAGTATGACCTTACAAAGGAGCTCCCCAAAGGGCCAGTAGCGCAGAAGATGTTCAGCAATATTGATGGGCAGCACCAATGTGAAGAGGTCGTCAGCAATGGCCAGATTCAAGATGAACATGTTGGTCACTGTCTTCATTTTTGGTGCCTTGAGGATCACATAGATGACTGCAGTGTTGCCAGTTAATCCCACAGCACAAATAATAGAGTATATCACAGGGAGGAGGATATAGAAGTCTAGAGGTTGTTCTGGAAAGGTGCAGTTGGATTGGCTGCTATTATCTGGGTAAAAGTCACCACCCGTCAAATTGTAGAAAGAGCAATTGTCCTCATACCTCATCCCTATGTCCCCAGCTTGGTGGTGCTGGTCATCCTGCATCATGACCTCTGATGGGGCTAATGGCTCCTGCCCCATATTCCATATAGTGACTGGAGAGATGAACAGACTGGCTTGTTATTGAGGGCTGGGCTCAGAGCTGGACATTGGGAAAGAAAACAACCAGAAATTTCTGAGGTCTGAGAATCTTACTCAGACATCGCAGCAAGTGCCTCTTCCTTCCTCCCCAGGTAAAAGTACCAGCCCCTTTCCAAGTGTAAAAATTCTATAATAAAGCTTCAGAAAGACCAGAAAGGACCTGAACCCACTCAGAGCCCTCAAACCTCATTCCCCATTGAATCCTAGGACTCTACGTGGTTTCTTCTGTCGCTGTCACTTTCCTGTTTTGCTCTACTCTACTCTGCCCGGAGAAATCCACGAACAGGTGATGAATCTTCTCTAAGCCCTTCTCCATGGGCAGGCAGGGCAAGCCTTCTGCCCTTCAGTCCCTGTGAAGGCACCTTCCCTTCTGAGTCAGTCATCTTATATAGCTCCACAAAGTAAGCTGGATACTCACCACTGCTTCTGTTAAAGTAGAGATCTTACACTGTCCTGGGGAAACAGCTTTTCCTTTTGGGTCATCATTACATTCCACAGGGAATCCAGGCAACGGAGACATTGTGTTGGCAGAAGAAATGCGCTGTCCAGCAAGATAGGAGCTTGACAATCTGGGTGTCAGGCATCCAGGCTGGCTAGGCAACAATGGGGAAGGGGAAGGTAGGGGGATGTTTTCTTTCCTCGCTAACCTGGCCCTATCCTGGCCCTATGCTATCGACAAAACAGCACAGACTTGAGAGACCTGAGAAAAAAGTTTGTGGCTCTGAGGGATTGAGGATGGCCAAACTCAGGAGGAAGAGCATAGCTGGCATGCTGACCATTATACACTTGTGGTGGAGGGAAGCCAAGCTCCCACAGTGGGTGCCTTCTGCTTTTCACTGCTCTGCTCCCTCGCCCCTAAGGGAGATTGGTGGGAACCCAGCTCCCATAGTAGGGACATGTAGTGCCCGCATGGTATACCTGCTCTAGAGCTGGCTCCCCCAGCTCTGAGAGGCTCCCTGCAAGTCTGTGCCTGAGAGGAATCTAGCTACCGTGGCCCCTTACCTCAGTCTCAGCCTTATCTCAGCCTCTGCTGCTAAAACCTGAGCCCTGAGTGGTCATTCTCCTTACCTGAAGCTTTTCCTGGTAACTGCCACAGCACCGATGTCTCCGAGCCTGAGCCCAGTCTTCTCTTCTCTGCAGACGCAGGCGGAGGTGGAGGGTCTCTGAGCCCTGATGACGCTGGCAGCCCAGGGGATTACACTTGCATCCACAAGCATCCACAAGCAAATGAACTGAGAAGTTCGTGCTGCTCAGGCTGGGACCTGAGGCTGACTGGCCCCCCTCTTCAAATGTAACAGCAACTGAGTGTGTGTGTATGTGTGTGCGCGTGCACCCATGTGTGTGTTTGTGAATGGATGTTTATAAGAGTGTGTAGAGTGTGTTTGTGTTTCTGTGGGTGTGTCCCTTTGTGTCTGTGTGTACTTGGGTATGTCTCTGGTTTCTCTTTATGATCTTATTTGTGTATCTCTGTGTGTCAGTGTCTGTTTGTGTGTCTGTTTATATCTATGCTATTACCCCAAGCTATCAGCTTATAGCTCATTAGTCAAGCTATATGTGTTCCAGGGGGCAGGAGGATCCTAGGACAAGTTACTTGGAAAGATGGAGCCACAGTCATATCTGTGTACCTTTCAACCCCAGAAGGGAAGTGATCACCTTTCCTTTTTTGTTGGCTCACCTGGCTTGTTTACTTGTTTAAAATTCCCCTAGTAGAGCAGAGGAGTCAGCCTTTTCCAGAACAGGCTGCTCTTGCAGGGGAGAAGAGGCAGTTTGAGTGCCCAAGGTCTTTACCTGCCCATCACCCCTGTCCTCTGGGTCATCTTAGCTATCTGGCTCTGATAATGCTGGGTTTATGCATAAAACGCTTCATTGTCTTAGCTCAAGTCATCTCATCAGCTCTGATCTCCAGGACGTGCTGGTATTTCTAGATACAATATGTCTGGGTGGTTTGGGACAATTAAGATTCTGCCTGGTCAATCCTACCTTCTCCAAGTTTGAAGAAACCCTTATGATACACTTGCAGACCAGACCCATGAAATGAAGGCAGAAAATGCCTTCCTTTATTAAGTTGACGGGCCAGAGAACAGGGATAAGTTGGGGGGTCTTCCAAACCACCTTAATACTAACCCGAACCTTCTCCTAACATTCCATACATTCCAGTTACTCTTGAAGCCAAATGGAAAGTCTCCTAATGCTCCCTTGCCCTTCATGTTCCACATTATTGTTTCGAGTCCTCCAAAGCAAAGTTATTGTTGTTCATTCATGTCAGTTGTATCTGACTTTTTGTGACCGCATTTGGGATTTTCTTGGCAAAGATACTGGAGTGGTTTGCCATTTGCTTCTTCAGCTCATTTTACAGATGAAGAAACTGAGGCAAACAAGGTTAAGTGACTTGCCGAGGGTCACACTAGTAAGTATCTAAGGCTGGATTTGAACTCGTGAAGGTGAGTCTTCCTGACTCCAGGCCCAACATTCTATCTACAGTGCTCTGCTGAAGCAAAGGCAACCTTATAAATGAAGAAACCGAAGCCCAAAGAGATTAGATGATCACATAGTCAGAATTAGACTCTTCTTTCCAAATTTTCCCTCTTTTGCTTTACTTAGCAAGAGGCAGAATTTTATAATGCATAAAGAGCTGGCACCAGAGCCAGGAAGACCTGGATTTCAACTCTAGTCTCTGTTTCAGAATGTGTGTGTGACCCTGGGCAAGTCACTTAATTTCTTAGTGCTCTAGGCCAGAGGTGTCAAGCAGGTGGCCAGCAATAGTCCTGAGGGAGATCCAAACCAGATTAAAAGGTAATAGGGAAATATTTAACAAAATAAATAAAAATATGGTAGAACATAGAAAATGTTGATATGTGGTTTTCTAAGGCATGAGACCTCAAGGGATCCTTATGTAAGGTTTAGTGGTTCCTGTTTCTATCTGAGTTTAACACCATCCTTTAGATAACTCTCTAAGATATAAGTAGCAGAAAGATGCCAACCTGCATTGGTAGTGGGAGTTTTCTCATTTGAATGTCCCCTATTTCAATTAAATCCCAAGTCTAATCCCTATTCCTATTGCCTTAACCTAAAAACAAAGGCACCTATGGAAAGAGCACTGGTCTTCAACATCACAAGACCTTGGGTTTGAATTCTTGACTCCAGTTGGGTCACTTCCTTTCTCTGAGTCTCAGTTTTCTCATATGTAAAATGGGGATATCATTTGCACCAATTACAAAGCCCTTATAGAAACGTGAGCTATTGTTATTATAAGAATGTATTTTTTTTTCTCTTTTTTCTATTTTAGTCTCCCTGATAAAAGCTCTCTGCTTTATTGCAGGGATTAATGGGTCTTGGAGAATCATGTTCCAATGAGAGTTGGCCTTTATTTTTTCCCCTGGGAAGGCACCGATCTTCTTTGTCACTGTCAGAGATCTATTGCCCATTTTACTCTTCTTTTTGTTGATTTGGGTTTCTTCTTGTCTTTGGTAGGTTCAAAAACAGTTTAGGAATGAAGAAGTCAGCTTTTGGAAAGCAGATGAGAGTCAGAAAAGAAGTTTTTTTCTGGAAAAGCTGAGTGTGGGGAAAGCTCCCTTTACAGAATATTACTGATTGAGAATGTGTTTCTTATTTATCAAATATCCTTTCTCTGCTAACATTTCTTATAAGTTCAGAGGTGTATTCCTTTGGGGAGAAATGGACCTAAGATAGAATATGATCACACTTTGAGATGGTAGCAAGCCATTAGATAGCCATAATGTCAACTCTAGGCTTATAACTTGTTTTAGTCTTGAGATCGGTTAATAAATAATGATTAACATTTACACAAACAATAATAATGATAATAAACAACAAATAATAAACATTTATTAAGTGCCTACTATGTTAGAGGGGCCAGCTACGTGGCTCAGTGGATAAAGTGAAGTGAGGAAGACTCATCTTCATGAGTTCAAATCTGACCTCAGACACTTATTAACTATGTGACCTCAGGATCACTTAACCCTGTCTACCTCAGTTTCTTCATGTATAAAATGAGTTGGAAGGAAATGGCAAACCAATTCAGTATCTTTGCCAAGAAAATTCCAAATGGGGTCATAGAGACAGGACTGAACAACAACCACAAAAAAAGTTGTAGGCCCTGGGCTAAGCACTGGGGATACAAAGAGTCCAAAGACAGTTCCCACCCTCAAGGAGCTCACGATCTATTAAAGCCTCCCACAAATAACTCTTTGACTTATGCTCCCCAACCAGAGAGTCACCTAGAAACATCAGAATTTGATGTCTCAGTCTCCATAGATGTGGGTAAGAGGACCCTCAGTCCTGATACAAGTGTTAAAACTAATAATATTTATCAGATGCAGAAAACAGAGCACAAAGGACTCAAGGAAGCCCTGAACAGTTACTACAGTTCTCCTTTATTCAGGGTCCTAGTGCCACACTCTATGGTTGAAGTTCTTGAGGGAAACACACCACATAAACATGGTGGCATTGGCAGGCAAGACCAGGTTTGCTCTTCCATATTGAGGATCTGTTCTTTGCTGCTTCTCCAGCTCCTGGACCATGTGTCTAGGAACTCTTCTTCTGTTTCCAGGAGGCTGAGTCCAGGAACTCTGACCATTCCACCACTGCCTATAGCTATTGCCAGGTCTTGGGCCAAGTGATTCCCTTTTCTCCTAAGACTTGTCAAGAGACTGTTAGGAGACATCCTGTTTTCCAGAGTTAAGGCCCAGCGAGCAAACTTGCTCACTGAGCTTGGCATGACCCAGCGAAATCTCAGCATTATTTCACATAATTATTGCATTGCTTTGATTAGCACCAGCTGTTCTCTGAGTTTGGACAAGCACTGGACAAGCTCAGACAAGTTCTAGTCATGAAGCCCTGCTATGAATTAGACTTATCATATTGTTGCTGTTACCCCTCATTGTTAGGGCTACAGCTCACTGCGCAACCATTGGTATGAGTATTGAGGTCTAGCCACACTAAAGCGGGTTCCCTCCCCCCACAAGGGGTGGCCCCAACACATGTGTCTAATTTGTCCCCTTGCTTGCAAGCTGTTTCCCTTACTTTGAAATTAAATTTCTATCTGATTCCTGAGTCTCCTGTCTCTTGGCTGCTCTGTTCAGCTCTGGTCATCCATAGGTTAGAGGCCAGTTCAGTCCAATTGACAGATTACATGATTCTTTCTCCAAGAATTCCTTTACTGTCTTGCCATTGCCTCTCCAGGGCTCATATATCTCCAGAGAGTTTCCCTGAGGAGAGTTGTGTGGATGAACAGGTTACCTGCTTCCCAGTGATAACAAATCTGTGCTTAGCTCAGTCTTTGTTTAGTTCTCTTGTCTTTGATTTCTACCTCCCCAATTCCCACTTTTTTCTTTTTTTTTTAATTCAAAATAAACCTTTATTTCTGGTGTCACTTTTTAAAAAAATTTCATTTTTATTTCTTTTTAATTTTTCTTATTTGTCTTTTTATTAATTTATTTATTTTTAGTTTTCAAGATTCACTTAGACAAGATTTTGAGTTCCAAATTTTCTCCCCAACTCGTCCCTCCCCCAACCCCAAGATGGCATGCATTCTGAATACCCTTTCCCCTAATCTGCCCTTCCTTCTATCTTCCCCCCTTCTCTTATCCCCTTCCCCTTATATTTTCCTGTAGGGCAGGATAGATTTTTATACCACATTGCCTGTATATCTTATTTCCCAGTTGCATGTGAAAACAATTTTTTAACATTTGTTTTTAAAACTTTGGGTTCCAAATTTTCTCCCTTCTTCCCTCCCCACTTACCCTCATTGAGAAGGCAAGCAAAAGCAACTCGATACAGGTTATACATGTGCAGTCATGCAAAACACTTCCATAGTAGTCATGTTGTGAAAAACTAACTATATTTCCCTTCATCCTATCCCACCCCCCATTTATTCTCTTCTCTCTTTTGACCCTGTCTCTCCTCAGAAATGTTTGCTTCTGATTATCCCCTCCCCCAATCTGTACTCCCTTCTGTCATCTCCCCACTCTCTTCTCCCTTCCCCCCTATTTTCCTGTAGGGTAAGCTAGATTTCCATACCCAATTGAGTGTATATGGTATTCCCTCCTTAAGCCAAATCTGATGAGAATAAGATTCACTTATTCCCTCTCACCTTCTCCCATTTCCCCTCCACTGGAAAAGCCTTTTTTTTTCATCTGTTTTATGTGAGATAATTTACTCCATTCTACCTCTTCTTTTCTCCTTCTCCCAGTATAAT